TCAACCAATGGGCTTACAGCTGAATGGGATAAAGAGGGAAAGGGAGGCTCTGCTCTTCCATCCCGCCTGCCCTGCCAAGGACTGCTTCTCCTTTTTGATGCCCCTCTGCCATGCTGCCTGGCCTTGGAGGTAGCCAACTATAGGCTGAAACCTCTACAAAATGAAAGCTAAAATGAGCCTATGTCCTTTAACTTCCATGGTTCAGTTACTGTGCCCCAGCAGTGAAAAAAGGAACTAAGACCCTTGTTGACTCCACCTCCTTACACAGTTACATTTCCCTGATGTCCTTGGATCTGGACTTGAACTGCATCGAGAGGGGCATCACAAAAGCCAATGTTCAAAGGGTTTTACTTCAGCTGTTTGATCCTGAGGGATCACCCCTAAAGAAACTCTCCCTGAGTCAGAGGACAATTCTGCCCCATGTCCATTTAAAAAAGCAGCATAGAAATAAATTTATCTTTTGTTTGTTTTTTGTACAGCTGGTGATGGAACCCAGGGCTTCACACCTCTTAGGCAACTGCTCAACCACTGAGCTTCTGCCCAGCCCCTGAGTAAATTCCTGACCGTTTTTAAATAGCCACCTTTATTCTTGATTCTAGCAGTCGTGATTGCAGAAATAATAAAGTCAATTCTCAGGACACCCTAATAAAAGCTTACTAGTGTTTTAATTGTAAAGAAAAAGACTTTTTTTCTTTTACTTGTTTCCCATTCGATGAGATGAGAAGAATCATTCCACCCTTAGGAGCCTGCCCTATAGACCCTCAGCAAATCGCAATGAAGTTGGAGGCATTTCCCCCATATATGACAGGTTTCACTACAACAAAGAGGCCTTGGGCGGCTGGAAGCCATGTTTTCCCCCAGGGTGAAGGACCTTTGGCACTGCTTGCTTGAGTTGCCTGAGCGTCGAGCTTTAAACAGAGGGTAGTGTAAGAACACAAATAGCCAAGCAGAAAAGACGTTGATCTCTCTCCTCTACCAAATATCTACTTAACAGGTGTATTTATTCATTAGTTTTATTATGTGTTGTTTTTCTTCCTCCAAACAAGATCTACAGAGCCCATAAGCAACAAGTGACAAGGAGATCAGGTCTAGAGGAGCCCAGGTAAGAAGACAGGCTCACAGATATTGTGGGTAAATGAATTATTCAGGGCAAACAGTAGGCACCCAATTCAGTAATCTTCTTTGTTTTGTTTTGTTTTGTTTGTTTTGTTTTGTTTTTTGAGATAGGGTCTCACTATGTAGTTGAGACTGACCTGGAACTCACTAGGTAGCTCAGGCTGGTCTCAAACTCACAGCGATCCTCCTGCCTCAGCCTCCCGAGTGCTGGGATTACAGGCGTGCACCACCACGCCCGCCAAACACATTCTTTTTTAGTGCTACAAGCCAAAACTGTTTCAGCAAAGCCCCTTTTAAAACATGTATAACTAATTTATATACATATATATATATACAGTACTATATATATATATATATATAT